GCATGCTTCTTTTCTAATCGGAGGAAATATGTGGAAGAGGTTTCCCCCTCCTCCACTCATTTAATATGCGAACGAGTCTGAATACCTTTAGCAGCCTCATGGTCAAGGGTCGCAAGGGCCGTGAGTGCAGAATGATACGGGACGATACAAGAAGCCGAACCGGCATGAACTTTGAGTTTTAAATGGGCCACAAGGTCAACTAGCAGGGTCCTATTGCGGGCCCTCCCCCCGACCTATCTATACAGTACCTAATTGACAGCCCCTTAAGACGACCTTTCCCAGTGTCCCACCATTTTGCTAAAGTGGAAAAATTATGCATGGAACTGCGCCAGGCCTGCCAAAAGTCGGAAACCAGACGGAAGTACTCATTTTCTTTCAAGATGGCGGTATTGAACTTCCACAGACCTGGACCGGGGGGAACGATGCCGGGTACCGTGACAGAGACTTGGACCCCACAATGGTCCGAAAAAGGGCAGGGCACCACAGAGCAGGCAAAGACGGAGGAGACCCACAGAAAGGGAATGCCAATAAAGTCGATGCACAAGGCGGGGGTACTATTCCACTTGGTCCACGTGAAACCGGGCGTCGACGGGTGCAAATACCGGAAGATGTCTACGACACAACATGCGTCGAAAAGACCACGAAGAGAAGAAGTACTCTCACGGGATGAGTCAGACGGATCTGAGCCCCGCCTATCTAAGGCTCTGTCGAACACTGTGTTAAAGTCTCCACACAACAAGGAGGGAACAGAAGGGTCGATTTTTGCATGAAGATCATCAAGGAATTGATCCCGGGCAGGGTTACAATTCGGCACATACAAACAGCAAACATGAAAGGACTGATTCAGAAAAGAAAATTCATATTGAAGATAACGCCCCTCCATGTCGCACCAAGAGCTCGATAAGGACAAAGAGGGGCGAAAGAGAATAATACAACCAGAGGAACGAACAGAGCCCGGGAAACACGTAACACCAAACCCAGAGGACAGAAAACACGATAAGCACTCCTGCGCTAAGGAACAATGCACCTCTTGGAGGCAGATGATATCAGGCTTCACGGGAAGAGACCCGCCCTTTTGGACGGGTCCCTAACACCATTGCAGGTTAGTGAAACGACAGACAGAGCCATGTGTAAAACAATAAGGAAAATCATCTAGGCTGGAAAAGCGAGAGACTACTTTCCCTTCTTTTTCTGAATACCAGCACCAGGGACCGCCTTTGACCGCTTTACAATGGACGCCGCAGCCACGGTGACAGATGGAATTATTGCCCGTTTCAGCGCCTTTCCTGAGCGCTTACGGGTGACCGTCAGAAACTGGTCAAGGGAATCAGATACCTCCGCAGAGGAAGAAAAGCTCGAAATATCCGGGGAGTCGCTGCACTCCATACCCCCAGAGCCTTGACTACTGAATTCACTAATTCCATTCTTATTAATTAAAGTAGAATTAACTTGAGTATTTTGACTAGAATTAACGTTTTCACTAATTACATTATCTTTATCGGTTGCAACCGTATCTCTAACATTAGTTTCAATTACATTTTCAATACTTACATTACGATTTTCGACAATTTCATTTTCAACATTACTAACATCCATACTATTATTCGCCACAACAGTTTCGGGGTACAGGCGTTCTCCACGCACACGGGAGAAACGCCCAAGGGACCAGGAGTCACCTCGACCTCGGCTACAACGGGAGGATCCTCAACAGTAACATGACTATTTTCAACAATTAAATTATCAATATCACTAACATCCATACTATGATTCGCCACAACAGTTTCGGAGACAGGGGTCACCTTGATTTCGGCAACAACGGGAAGAGCCACAATTGGAGGGAAAGACTCGGCATTAGCACGGGGAGCGACACCAGCTGCAACAGAATCAGTCCCCCAAGCACGCCTACCCGGCGGGACGGACAAGCACGAGCTAGATGGTCAACAGCACCACATCCTTTACATTTGCCATTGAATTCATAATCCGCGGCCTTATGATCCATGGTCTTACATATTTGGCAAAATGGCTGCATGTCACGGTACCAGACACGGGTGGGGTACGCGTCAACGAAGACCTCAGCCGGAATTGCTTAAGACAGGGACATTGTCAATATACGAGACCCCGTAAGGAGATTAGGTCTACCAGAAAAATGCTGATGCTTAACAGAGACTATTTTCCCATAACAGCGAAATTCCTCACACAGGAGGCCGTCATCCCCCTCAGCCGGATAATGATGTACATACACCAAGGTGTTAGGCCGGTCCGAGGGGGTGACACTATATTCAACATTATCTAACATAACCGACCCCTGATTAACTAATCTATCTTTATCAACAGGGTCCATAAACGTGAGCCGAATAAGACCCCTGGGAACGAACTGAACGGCAGACAACTTGCCAAAATCCACCACCTCTTCAAGCAACGAGAGCACATGTGCCCTCTCTCGAGCGACAATTGCCGCCGGAGCGTGCACCACGCAAGTGTTCGTACAGAAGAACACCATACCAGAGTCGAAAAGAAATGAAAAAAAAGAAAGAAAGAGAGCTCAAAAAGAACCCAAACGGATGCCTCAAAGGGCCGAGCCCCCCGATTCGGAATTGGAGGGGCAACTAAATACAAGCGTAGGTAGCTTAGGCAAAAAAGACAAACACCAGCAAAACCAGGAAATCCTGCCACACTATAAACCGGGAAAAAGAAAGGAGGCAAAAGAAACCCCCAAAAGCCACGCCCCAAAGGGCCGACTCAAGCCCAAAAAATGGGATGGGTGACACGCACAAACAGCAAAGGCCAGAAAACCCTCACACAATACTGACAGGAAAAGGGAAAAAAGCCCAAGGTAAAAAGCCCAAGGGCAGAACTAGGCCCCAAAAAATGTGACACACGACTAAAAGAAAAAACAAGGCCACTGGCGTTCCCTCCCGGCAGGTACTTGGCACTCGGCCTGACCACAATAAAGAGGGAAAAAAGGAATACTCATGAAAATCCGCCCCACAAATGTTCCGATCTCGCAAATCCAAATCACGAAAGAACATACGGCGTAGTTTTAGCGTAATTTTGTGGGTCGTTATTTAGTGCACGGAAGTACGGGCATACGTACGCAGTTTCAGGTTTTCTAGCCTAAGTTAAACGTGAAAATATCTTTAAAATTGAAGCCACGACGCTCTAGACTACTCGGAGGATTGGAACCTGAGGTTATTCCGAGATTTAATGAACGTCAGAGGTCCACACGTTTTTTATCTTGTAGACGTGCCATCGAAGCACTCTGATGCGAGGAATGAATTTCTCTTGCAAGAAAGGATCAGTCGAGTAAGATATGTTTCTGAATTTTGATAGATACAAGGCAAAATCCCACATGAGCAGACGACTTTTCTTTCCTTCATATTTAATTTTAGCGAAGCTCGCAGAGCGTAGTGCCATAATTGTAGAAAAAAGTAGTTACCCATCGAGCCGAAAAATTTGGATGTACGATGGTACGACCGACCCTACGAAGTTGCGAATGATAATATATAGATTTAGCCAAGCCTAAGAGCGGAGCTCGCATTTTTTTCCCGCACGTCCGAAGGGCACAACGCCTTGCCACGGCCAGGACTAGAACCCGGGTCGTCCGACTCGGAGCCCAGTGCACTGACCACCGGACGACTGGACAAAGCCGTGGCATTAGCGTGCCCGTGGAACAGTTGACCACGCATGTCAAAAGTAGCACCTTGTGTGGTCGGTCGTACGGTCGTAAGTCCAAATTTTCTCGGCTTGATGGGTTACTACTATCATTTTGTATAATTATGGGGTTACGCTCTGTGCGAGCTCCGCTATTACCACGCACTTTATCCATAGTAGGGGCTTTAGTTTTGTTGAAGAGACGCGCGGGAAAAAAATGCTAGCTCCGCTTTTGGGCTTGCCTAAATCTACATATTAGTTGCATTATCGATCTCTTTTGAGGAAATGCGGACTGCCAACAAATTTTGCGTATTCATTTCTCTTCAATTTTTACGTGTGTGTGTGACAGTTTACATCTTCGTCGCGCGCTAATTCGTTACCAGTCCACGGGACACTTTTAAGACAAAATAAAAGCACTTTAGGACCCCAAGTGTTTTGGGCTTTTTAAAAGTTTTCTTCTATCGGAATTGGTTTGTACATGTCATAAGCTAAGTATTTAGGCAAAGAAAATTTGTGTCATAAGCACTTTAAATTCTATCAAATGAAGCTTTCGACTGTGGAGATAACTGGAGTTAACTTTATTTTTTCAGTATATGGATCGTTGTGCAGATGTGCCCGTGATCGATTTCATGAATTTAATCGACTGCATCCTTGAGGAAGCACGAAGGAGACGGTTCTCGCGTGTAAATATTTTGATAAATGGAGCGACATGTCTCGAATTTGACTTGTATGATGGTTTGCGACTCCGTCAGTTTGTGGAAAATGTTTAGCCCAATGACCTAATTTTAGCTTGCTCTTTGTATCTCGATTTTCGTCCAAGAGGACTGTTAAGAGGAGTATGTCGCTTTGAAGATATCTGTGTAATACGGTTTCGTTGAACCGTTACTATTTTGAAATGATGATAACCTCATAAGAATTCAACAATAACTGTAACCATAAGAACAATTCAACACAACTATAAACACTGTGAACAAGTCACCAGGCACTTGTGCAACTGGTTCAATTTCTACGGAACGAAGCTACAAACGAATCAATCTGATTCTTGAATCATCGGCTGACAGCCAACCACTTCAATAAAAAACTTTACCGTTGACTGCCCTCTTTTAAAGATTATGAAAGTGATCGACCTTATCATAAATAAAGCCTGTTTGAAATTTTGTAGAGCTACTGGAGCTCATTTTTTTGCATTTAGGGCCTGATTACATGGAGGTGGGGGGATGGTCAAAAATAAAACACATTTACATACTTACAACCCCGGGGTGCTGGGGTGAGGTTTCTTGAGGTTGTTGCTGCGCTTATAATTAGGGACTTTGAACATTGGGGTCTCAAGCTCACGTCTCGAGAAAGAGAAAAAATAAATTCTCGGAGACTTATGTCTTTATTTATATGTATGTAATTATTCAAACAAACTTCGTGCAATTGGGAGCTCTAATCAGAGCTCATTAACTCCCTGATCAACCAATAAATTTCTTGTGATCAAGAGCTCTTCTCAGAGCTCATTGACTCCCTCCCGATCAGCCAAACTTCGTTTGACACGGGGCTCTTCCCACTTCCCCGAGTCCCGCGTCCCCGAGTCCCGCGTTCCCGAGTCCCGCGTCCCCGAGTCCCGCGTCCCCACGTCCCCACTTCCCCGTCTCACTTTTAGTCACAGCCTTGGGATGGTAGCGTTGCCGTTCTCCCGAACAAGGTTAGGACGTCATTACGCTGGTTTTCCCGTCGCGATCGAAACGCCAGGGATTTGCGTAAAGTTTTGCACTTATAAACGAGATAATGCTGTTTGGAATTATTTCAGAACCCATTTCTTGGATAACCTGGTCCCTTTGTTGTATTCGGTGTATTTTGGGAAAATTTACCGCTCTATTTATTTGGACCCCCCGGTCCAAATATGCTAGCGGATATGGACCCCCCTCCGCGGATTTGGACCCCCCAACAAAACTGACTGAAAACATCATCCTTAACGTTCTAGTAAAAATGGATGATACTTTACGTTCCAGTGCGCACTAACGTATGTTTTTAATTCAAAACATGCGTATTGTTAATGCATACGAACTGCCATCCCGTCGGATGTTTCTTTTGACCAAGGGAAAATGGGCAAGAATTTAGTTTAATGTCAGGAGAGAGGTCGTTTTTGAACCTTTTCCGCGATAGTCGAACACCGCTAGATTCAATAAGCGATAAACTTGTGACACTAATTTATTTTGTCATTGCTCAATGCCCGAGTGTTGGAACGACATGGTACAGTGCGAGCTGTGCGAGGAATGGTTACACGTGAACTTCGAGAGATTTCAGACTGCCCCGGAGGGCGAGTGGGTCTGCATAGTCTTCAGATCGCCAGACTCTAGACGTCTTCGTAATTGTTAAGGTGTTATTTTGGATCCCTAAACAGTTAATAATCGTTAAAGTTAGAAAATAAGTTTGAGTTCGATGTAATAGTCTCCACTTTAGTTAAGTTGATTTGCATCTGAAAATAAGCTGAGAGTTCCAATAGTTCAGAATAGAAACATTTTACTTATCATAGGCTTTACGAACGACTTGTAGTAGGAGTAGTTTCTTCGTTCTTTTTCAGAAACTGTTTAATGTTATTATTTTAGAAAATCAGACTGTTATTTTTATGATTGGACGCAATAGTCTCCACTATTGTTATGACGTTTCGTAACAATGTTGATTCGCATCAGAAGAAGCAAAGATTTATTGTCACTATTTCAATAGTTCGAATGCAGCAGTTTGTTAACATCTAACTCTTGCGTATACTGTACGACTCGCTATAATAAATGCGGTAGAATTGGAACGAAATGGCTGGGTTTTCTTTTTACCTTTATCGAGGAATGTTGTTTTGTGATTGAAAAGAACATCGACAAAAAGCTTGAAAATAGAATTAGGTACCAAATATGATACAAAGGATGCTTAAAAGGAAAGTTTGGTAGGAGGTCGAGATCTGTGAAGGGGGGTCAATATCCGCTAGCGGATTTGGACCGGGGGGTCCAATCTGACACCGGATCCAAGATTTTTAGGGCTCAGTAACTTGTAAATTGAGCCAGGCTTAAAAACAGCGAACCGTCTTTTCCTCGATACATTTCCTTAATCCTGTAGGAAAACTCTGAGAATGGGATGCTGTTAATTTTATCATTAATCAATTCATCAATAAATTAAACTTGCTTCATGTCGAAGTCTATCAAAATGAAATGTCATAACGCTTACTTACTGTATTATTCAATGTTATTTGTTGTTATTGTCATTTTTACTATGATTGAAAACTTTTCTGCGAATTGGAGTCAGAGATGAAAAATATTGTGAATTGCTTGGGTTTGCAATTTTTTATGTTTGAAATGTTTTATCAGCGCCGGTGGAAAATGAGACAAGAAAGTCATGCTCTCGCTAAGAAATAAAATAACAATAAACTTGATTTCGGCACGGCTCTCTAAATCTATTGATTTGATTCAGTCTTAAACGACTTTATTCGTTTAAAAAAAATTAAATTAAACACAAAAAAATTAGACAAGAACGAAGTTTTATTCCTAAGTGTGACCGTTTTGTTGGTGACAAGTTTGAGTTAATTTCATTCTTTCATGGATAAATAGGAACTCATCGTAAACAACTCCACTGTTGGGTCGCTTGGTTTCTACATGGTTTCGCCATAACTCCTGATAATTCTGTTCAAAATACATTGCAACTATAAGAAGGTGGTGCTCAAAAGAGATGTACTGTCATAATTGACAGTGAACAAGGGGGAAAACGACGACGATTTCCAAATTATCCTTTACAAAATTATGAAAAAAAACGAGTAGTGCTGAAATCTGGTAGCAGGAAACGAAATGACAGCGACACAAATCATAGAAAAAAATTATTTAG